CCGCCGAGCATCGTTGGCGACGGCGGAGGACGTGGGATCCTACGAGAAGTGTAATGACCGTAAATTTTCAATACTGGTTTAAATAATTTTTCTGGTGTTTTAACATTAAATATTATTTTTCTAAAATAATATTTGTATTTTTCATAAATTCTCTAGAAATTTCTATGATTTAAAAATACGGTGTTATATTATTTTAATGGTTTTGCTAATTATAAATTTAATTGTTTTGGTGAAATTTTTTGAATTAATATTTAATTATTCATTGTTATTGTTATTATTATTTTGGGCATAAATTTTCAATATTTATTTGAATAAATTTTATGATATTTTTAAATTATTTAAAGGGGTACTTTTCCCTGTGTTTTCCTATCACCGGTATTTCATTCTGTATCTCTCTCCTCCCCCTACCCCACTTCCCCAATTCACTCCCTAAATTCCGCACTCTCGCCCACCTCGTGTTTCCCCCACCATTCTCAAAAGAATCACTCTCTCACTCTCTTTCTTCAATTATTTTAACTCATCACCATCTCTCTCCGTACTCTCTCTCTCTTTTCAATCAAACTCACGAGCCCTCTTTCTCTCTCTACAAAATCTCATCTCTCTCACTTTCTTCCAGTTCTCTCCCTCCCTCCCTCTAAACCCAAGCCGCACCAACTGCCTCCGCCACCCGCCTTCTCCAAGTCACGTCGCTCCGGCAACCTGACCACGACCCCATCTCCTCCATCACCCCCTGAACCAGCCCCGACGACAGCTTCCAAACTCTCCCGATCTCGTCGCCAACCAACGCCTCCATCGCACGCCACATGTTCGACGATATGTCAACAGCCCCGTCGCACCCCGTTGAGCCCCTCAGTGATGACAACTGTCGTCGTTGTCGCCGTCCCCAAACATCGCCTCTCGTCGTCAGGCCCTCGGCATCATAGGCAAGATCCCGCTCCTCTTGACTCGTCATTTCCTATTTATATCTGTCGTTAATTAGTTACATAGATTAGATTATGAATTGCTATTATCTGCGTGGGCTTGTTGATAAAGTTATGAATTTCTGCATATTTTAGTTTGTGATATAGTTATCTGCGTGGGATTGTTTGGTGAATAATATTAAGTAAATCACAATATTATGATAAATAGCATTTTCAGAATAATTATAATGAATTAAAAGAATTTATTTCGGCAGCAGAATTATTTTTAGATAATTATATCAATTAAAAAGAATTTATTAGAGAACGAAATCATTTTAGGAAAATTATAATAATTTAAAAGGAATTATCTTGGAAAAAGAATCATTTTGAAATAATTATAATAATTTTTAGAAATTATCTTGTGGAAGAAAACATTTTAGAATGATAAATATTTTTAAAAAGAAATTATTTGGGAAAATAGAATATTGTGAATTAATGAGAATTTATCTTATTTTTGAATTTAGATTATTTTTATTTTAAAAGATTAATTTAGAATTTATTGCTAATGAGAAAATAACTTATTTGAAAAGGGATTATTTTGAAAGAACTGCATTTTGTAAGGAATGTATTTTACGTAAATAAATTATCTATTTCATAAAGATTATTTTAGAAGCAATTTTATGATTTTTTGATTCTTAATTAATGTGATAATGCTGATATTCGCGTACATGATTCGATTACTCTATGTCGTTGTTTCTCGGTTGTTGTGAGAACCCTTTAAGTGTTCTATGATTAGTGTGTTCTCGTGCGTCCATTGAACAGACTTAGTACATGTGTGGGTGTTGCACTGAATTTAGGTGGTGAAGCCCGGGTTTCAATGAGGATTCATGATTGATTTAGAAAAACGTAAGAAGAGTTGGGATGAGGAAGTTAATGTTTCATGTTGTTGGATGATGACTGGTTGCATGTATCTTCGCAGGCCCGCGCCGGTGAATTCCGTGTAGTCACTGCAGGGGTCTTGGTTTGTTTGTCTAGCAAGTAATTCGATGTGGAGTGTCAGTTTAGTCGCGGTGACTTGTTTCGTTAGATGCATGTAGAGCTTGCGGTCAGGAGTTCTTGGGGGTACAGGGCAGAGCCGAGATCCGTGGGGCATTGCGTGTAGCGGCTGGAAGCGCGTTCCGAGGGTGGTTGATTGGG